CCAACCAAACCATTCTATGACTCTATGACCTTATTAGAAACTTTTGTACAAAATTGGAAGAAAAAGTAATTGTCGCTTTTATTACAGTGATTTTTCCTTCCTATTTGGATTTTCTGGGGTTTTATTCAAAGACTTGCACATATTGACTGTCAATACAGATACTAGGGGTTTTTTTTAATATGTAATAGTGTTTTTCTGTCTTCAGTGGTTATATATTTGTGCATCTTTGATTTAGGTTGAACCGAGTACAAAGTTATTTCCTGCTGTATTTGCTCAAGCTACAAGCCCCAACGTTTTCCAGTTTGAATTGGGAAGAATAAAGGTAAATAGTATTTGGTTTAGGACTAATATATCAAATAATTTTTTTTTCCTTGCCTATTTGTTGCCTGCAATGTGTTCTTGATATTGGACACATTTTTATGATACCAAGTGTTTGCACTGTTGCCATTTTTATTCTTAACTCAATTTTAAATACTTCATGTATTTAAAATACAGTACATTGGATGAGAAGGGTTGTAACTGATTGGAATTGGCAGAGGACATTGCAAAGTCTCGTTGAATTTTCTGAATCAAATCCTTCATGATGAAATTGAAATCACTGTGGTCAGTAAGCCAAATATCTTGTTCTAGAAGCAGAGCATGGATGACTGGTGTATCTGCATATTAGATTACAGTTTTAAAATGGTTTTAAAGTACATTCAAACAGTATGTTCAAAAAAACTGTGCTGAAATTTACTTCCTTGCTTTGGATACATGGATGTCTAAGAAATCAGAAGAGGTATAAGAAGAGTGGAGTTCAGATCTCTAGTCCAAGGAAGTGACCACACATTCCATTCAAGTTTCTATTTCAAATTCAGTTATTTTAAAAAATTTGTTATGGACAATGTTCTCTTGCTGCTAATCTGCCAATAGTATCCATCTGGTTTTACAAACTACTGAAAATGTTAATTTCCTGTTGCACTGTACTTTACTATATGTTGAATATATTTCTTGAAAAATATCGTATGTTCATTGTTTGGTAAAGATGGTGAAACTCATTGTCTCTTCTGTTGGAATTTTCCAGAATGTAATGCCATTATCTGCTGGCTTATTCAAAAGCGAACATAAAAACCCGGTCTCGCAATGTCCTCCACGTCTCCATGTCCAATTTCTGACTCATGTACTTTGGAGCAGAGTGCCAAACCACTTCTTGAAGGTTGATGTCTCTCGAATCAGTGAACGCCAAGGCTGGATGATACAGTGCCTGAATCCTTTGCAGTTCATGGCCCTTCATATTCCCGAAGAAAACAGGTTGATGTTTGTGTGTTGAAATATATCAGAGTTAGGTTGGGATTATGATACTAGACATGTAATAAAAAAAAAGATAGGCAAAGATCTGGTTTTGTAGAGATTTTTTTAAGATTTGTGACCAATTTAATTACTCTATTAATTTTCCTAAATTTAGTTTAAACAATTGAAGAAATTTAACTTTGTGATTTGCTTGTTACCCAAATGTCTCAGCATTTTGCCAGTGCCAAAACTGAAAATAAAATAACTAAAAGTTTAGGTAAAAATTCTAAACAAACAACCCCATCCCTGAACCCTCTGCAAATGAAGTGGTTAGTCTGTTACCATTTTGCAACCCCAGATCTAAAACCAATAAATGATCTAAAATCTCAACCTATACTAGTTTTAAAACCTTCATTTTCAGTTATCCAAATTCTTGTTTGTAGTACGAAGAAATATTCTCTGTGAAGTAAATAATTTTTATCTTTCCTCACTGAAAGTATTTGAAGTTGTACTTTAGGAGCGACTTGAATAAATTCCTGATTGAACTTTGTTATTAGTCCTTGATTCTTAGGTTGACAGTGTTTCTCACATGAAAACTGAAACATGGAAAAAGTCCATCCCTAGAACTGATATTGTGCCAATGTTATCCTTAGGGAGAATTTTGAATTTCTTAAGTAAATTTTTGCACTGATATGGAATTTACTGTATTGTTTTTTTCTCTACAGAACAATTGATATTTTAGAGCTGACAGAACAAGAAGAATTGCTGAAATTTCACTACCATACCCTCCGATTATATTCAGCTGTTTGTGCTTTAGGCAACAACCGAGTGGCCCATGCTATGTGTAGCCATGTGGATGAATCTCAGCTGCTGTATGCTATTGAGAACAAATATATGCCAGGATTATTACGTGCAGGATATTATGACTTACTCATTGACATCCATCTCAATACCTATGCAACTGCCAGGTTAATGATGAATAATGAATTTATAGTTCCAATGACAGATGAGACCAAGAGTATTACTTTGTTTCCTGATGAAAACAAAAAACATGGCCTCCCTGGTATTGGACTTAGCACTTCATTAAGGCCAAGAATGCAATTCTCCTCTCCGAGTTTTGTAAGCATTAGCAGTGAATGCTTTCAGTTCAGTCCTGAATTCCCTCTGGAAATCTTAAAGGCCAAAACCATAGAGATGTTGACTGAAGCTGTTCAGGAGGGCAGCCTCCATGTCAGAGATCCAGTTGGAGGTTCTACAGAATTTCTGTTTGTCCCTCTCATCAAGCTCTTTTATACCCTCCTCATTATGGGAATCTTCCACAATGGGGATCTGAAACACATCTTGCAGTTGATCGAGCCCCGAGTTTTCAAAGAAGCAATGAGCCAGGAGGATGAAATTGATTTCTCAGAGAAGGAGCTGAGTTCAGATGAGCTCAAGTCAGAGGAAGGAGAGGAAGAAACTAGAGGCGAGCAAGTGCCAAAGGAAGGACTCCTTCAGATGAAACTTCCAGAACCTGTTAAATTACAGGTAACAATATTACTATGATAGTGGTTTTTCTCATTTCTTCATAGATACTTTTTTCTTCACTTGGTAATTTCTCTGTCAAGGAATACAGCATTTTGATGTTAGTTAAATAGAGAAGTAATTCCTTACAGGAAACAACAAGATTTAGTATCTTCCTGATGATATAAAATTGTTCACCATAAATCAAACAACTGTTGTTTCATTAAATAGAATTACTTTCTCAATGACATTAACAAATGACACTTTTATGGATCCGAACAGAAAAGAAGCAAGGAGTAAATCCATTCTCTTATAACATTAATAAAAGTCTTACATTTTGTATGTCTGAGGCACATAATACTCTTGCAGCTGCCAGATATTCCTGGTGGAGGATTGCTTCACATGTCGTAAATGACAACATTAAAGATTTCAGTCTCTTTATTTGATAGTAACTGCTGCTTTAAGGAATCCATCCTTATTTGCATAATATACAGAAGCTATTTCTTAGCTTGCCAACTCTTCTTTCTCTTACGATACTGTTTTCTCAGATGTGTCATCTACTCCAGTACCTGTGTGATTGCCAAGTACGACATCGAATAGAAGCCATTGTAGCATTTTCAGATGATTTTGTGGCCAAGCTTCAAGAGAATCAACGCTTCCGGTACAATGAAGTGATGCAGGCCTTGAACATGTCTGCTGCCCTGACAGCTAGAAAAACAAAAGAATTTCGATCCCCACCTCAGGAGCAGGTACAGTTTACAGTGGAAAATTATTTTTTTTGTTGTGCTGTGTGTGTGGCAGAGTTCTGTTTGATTTCAAAGCTTTTCCTTTTGGAGATCAGTGTCATTTGCCTTTCCTTTGTATTCTTTAAGATTAACATGCTGCTGAACTTTAAAGATGATAAAAATGATTGTCCTTGCCCTGAAGAAATTCGGGATCAACTCTTGGATTTCCATGAAGACCTGATGACACACTGTGGTAAGGCTTGTTACTGAAGATTTTACTTTTTTAATTATATTAGCTTTAGAAGCAATTTTTCTAAATAATTTTACATAAGAAACACCAACTAAGTAGTCTACAGATTACACTATATCAATTGTAAATACTATCAAATAAAGATACTCAGCTTGTAGCCAAAACCAATGAAGTGTTTGTATCCTCATATCTGGTCAAACCAGAAGGGAATGCAAAATGTTTTGCTTCATGAGGGAGAAGCTTTTTTTTTTTCACCCATACAACTCTGTGGGAATTTCTTTGGACTTACTGTATTGGATAATGCTGTAGCTCACTTGCTGTTCAAGGGGTTCCTCTGCCCTATTCCCTCTCCCTTGCATAGGTTGGTATAGGTCATCTTTGCTATATCAAGTTGACTATGGCCATGTTAACCACAGTATGACATATTATTAGTGGCTGATTCTTCTCAGAATGAAGATACAGAATGTTTCTTATCTATTGAAATAGACTAGTAATCAAAAGGAGCAATTGAATTTCTGTGGTTTTGATAAATAGTTAATAGTTAATAGTTTTAGTTAATAAAAACAATTAAATTCTAAGTGATATTAAAATGTGAAATATAGTAACAATTCAAATACAAAAATACCAACATAAAAATGAAGCACCAAAATGTGTATTTTAAATGTCAAGCTCATATCCATGAATACTGTGAATTCAGTTATAGAGTAGTTTTGTTCAGAATGCATGCTTACTTATATTTTGTGTTGAGGACTTTGTTGTTTTCCTGTTTGGAGGATACTCATCCCCTTATTTTACTTCAATACACTACTTTTAAAAAATAAGTAAAAGAGACACTTAGCAGACCAGACAAGCAACTGAACTTTCACATCATGTCCCATTAGCTAGAAGCAACTAATGAAGGGATGTGTGATAGTACATTTTAAACTAATACTCTGGTTAAGGAAGGAGCTTTGGACAGGAGAATCTCTACACTTTTCCTCCTGAATTGCATTCCTTAGTGATCCCAGTTTCACTGGATATAACATGTTTGATTATTTAATTCACTCCCTTAAAATATTCAAATAAATAAAATCATGCCATTGATATCTGACTTCATAATACATGCATTTTCTTTCATGCTAGAGCAAGCACAGTTGATATCCTTGTGTATCACAAGAGAATCTGGTTAGATTGGTCCATCTCAAAGATATTTCTGGTACTAAAATAATCACATATTTATTAAGGTATCAAATATCACGGAAGGTCTTTAATGCAGCCTGCTACTCAAAGCAGTCAACACTGAACTCAGACGTGGTTGCTCAGTGATTTTTGCACTTGAGTCTCAGAAGCTTGTAAGCACAGAGATTCCACAATGATTTTGGGCAATGTGTGACAGGGCTTGAATGTCCTAATGGTGATTTTTTTTCTTTTTTCCTTATGTCAGTTTGGAACCCTTCCTGTTATAGTTTGACAGTTTTATCTTGTTCACCTCAGAAAAGAGCATGGCTGCATTTTCTTGCTAATTTCCTTGTAGATTTTGGTTGACTTCTATCAGGTCCACCATAAAGCTTCTGTTCTGCAGATTGACAAACCCAGTTCCTTCGTCCTGTTACAGGACAAGTGGTCCAGCCACCAATCATCACGACAGGCTGTTGCTGGATACTTTCCAGCTTTTCAATATTTTTCTTGTATTGGGTAATCCAAAACTGGATGTCATCTCATGAGTGCCGAATACTGGGGAATAATCACTTGCCTTGAGCTAATGATTATGTTTCTATTAGTACAAGATATTTTTAGCTCTCCTTGCTGTTAGAGTGCACTGCTGACTGGTGTCCAGCTTGCTGTCCAAAAGGACCCTCAAAGTTCTTTTTGCAAAAGTGTGGTTTTTTAGCCAATTCATGCCCAGCCTGTGTATTGTCACGTGGGATTGGTCTGTCCAAGTTACAAAACTTTACATTTGTCCTTGCTGTACTTTGAGTATCCTGTCAGCCCATTCCTCTACCCTGTTGAACTTCAGTGTTTTCTGCTCCCCCCAATTTGTATCATCCACAAACTTGATGAAGGTGTGTTATGACATTTCAAATGAAATATTTTTGTTTTCAATAAAAAAATGAAAAAAGGGAAGAAAAAAAGGAAAATTCACAGTAACTTGAAAGTCAGTTGACAGAAAATGAAGATGAAACAAAGAATTTAGAAATAACATTTGAAAGGAGAAGAGGCTTTATCTTTCTGTTTGATTTTGCCATTTTACTTTAGTCTTTTACCATCATTCTCCTCTGTTCAAATTACTTGGTCTAGTTTGTCATTATTTTTCTTTATGGTGAAATAGTAATTTGCATAATCTACAATTAGAAAATTAATTTTGTGGGTCAGGGGGTGCATTACAGTGGAGCAGAATTAATTACTCTGTGTATTCAAAATACAGCTATTGCAAAATAAGTAAAACAATTACACATCCTGAGTCCTATGTCTGGTTGATTAGCCAGCCACCATTTGGGGATTCATATCTTGTGACATGGTTGAGAGACGATTATATTCACAGTTTGCAAATCAGAAAAGTGCAACTACAGCTCAAGGAACAGCATAACTGTGGGGAAAACAGACGTTTCATTTGAGTGATTTCAGAGCCTCTCTGTGTTCTAATTGGTAAGACATTTCAGTGTCTTCACTGTTTGGTTGAAGAGACTACTATCCAAACCATTTTGTAGTATGACTTAGTAAAATGTGAAGTTACTGATGATCCTTGTTTAGTGTCAATTAGTCTCTTAGGACAAAATATAACAATATAACTTTTAATGGAAATGGAACTCTACTTAATGCAAAAAATCAGACAATTAAAAACAGATGCAATAAATTGAGGTGAATGATGTAATATTATGAAGAAACATCTGATAAAATTCAAGACTGTTAAAGAACTCCCCACAAAACTCTTAACTTCGTAACTTATATTGGAAACTAAAAAAAACAGCGAAAAATACTTGAATGACCTTTTTACTTTGAGCTTATTTTAGTGTAATAGGTATAGGTCAAAATTTTTAGTTCCTTTACAATATATGCATGAATGAATAAAGTTAAAAACATGAGTGAAATGAACTGACAGGAATCCCATGAAGTTCAGCAATGGGAAGTGGGAAGTCCTGCACCTGGGGTGGAATAACCCCATGCAGCAAGGACAGGCTAGGGACCAAACTGGAAAGTAGCTTTGCAGAAAAGAACCTGGGTATCCTGGTGGACAGCAAGGTGAGCATGAGCAGCAATGGGCCCTTGTGGCAAAGAAAGCCAACGACTGGGCTCCCCAGTACAAGAGACATGCTGGAGTGAGTCCAGGGAGGGGCCATCAAAGATTATTAAATTCTTGGAGCGTCTTTTGTGTGAGGAGAGACTGAGAGGGCTGGGGTTGTTTGGCTTGAAGAGAAAGCTCATGAGGGGCTTCTATCAATGCGTATAAATACCTGTTGGGCAGGGGGAGTAAAGAAGGCTGAGCCAGACTTTCCTCACTGGTGTGTAGTGACAGCACAAGAGACAGCGGGCACAAATTGAAATACAGGAAATTCTACTTAGTTCTTTTTTTTTTTTTTTCTTCTTTTGCTGTTGGGATGATGGAACTCAAGAACAGATTGCCCAGAGAGGTTGTGAAGTCTCTGCCTGAGGAGATATTCAATACCTGACTGGATGTGGTCCTGAGCAACTTACTGTAGTTGAACCTGTTTGAGCAGGGTGGCTGGACTAGATGATCTCTAAAGGCTCATTCCAGCCTCAGCTGTTCTGTGATTCTGTAAAGCAAAAGCCACTGTATTGTGAAGGTAGCTACTTTCTTCTGACTAGTCACTAGAAAGTATATTTATTGTAACTTTAGTTTTTTCACTTCTATGGTAAGTTTTTACCTAAAATTCTCCTAGTCTTTCCTAGTATTGGTTAAACCATACTGTGTTGGTAGGGACTATATCTACACTTCAGAGCTACATGTGTCCAAAACACAGGCATCAGTCTTAGCACAGAAACATGCATACTGGAGGAGTTGACCACAGAAATACATTTACTATATATTTTATGTATAATAACACACAATTTACACAATAAATTAATAAGATTAAATGATCCTTATCTGCAGTTTCCTGTCTTGCACATATACCTGATCTATACTTGCTCCCAACTGCTGGTTATGCATATCCCATTTCAAACTCTCTCATAGTTCTAGCAAAGAAGGACAACATAGTTCAGTTTGATTATAGAATCATAGAATCATTATGGTTGGAAGAGACCTCAAAGATCATCAAGTTCAACCGTATACCCGATGTCACCATGCCCACTAAACCATGTCTTAAAGCGCCACATCTAAACGTTTTTTGAACATCTCCAGGGACGATGACTCCACCACCTCCCTGGGGAGCCCATTCCAATGCTTAATGACTCTAACAGTGAAGAAGTTCTTTCTAATGTCCAGCCTGAACCTCCCCTGGTGCAACTTGAGACCATTTCCTCTCGTCCTATCGCTAATTACCGGGGAGAAGAGCCCAACCCCCACCTCGCTACAACTTCCTTTCAGGTAGTTGTAGAGGGTGATAAGGTCTCCCCTCAGCCTCCTCTTCTCCAGACTAAACAACCCCAGCTCCCTCAGCCGCTCCTCATAAGGCTTTTTCTCCAGGCCCTT